CTGTGGCGGTGGCAGTTATGTGAAATTTCATTATGAACTTCAAAGCAACGAGAAGCAGACAGACGGTCTCTGATGATATCAACGCATGGTTAACACACAAAATTGTATATGTGTTTGATATATGTGAGAATATGAGAATAACGGTTATGTTACTTATACGATGGATGACGGTTTGAATATGTATATATAGTTCCAATCTCTGATAAATAAACAATAATTGTTTTAAAAACCACAAATTGTTAGAAAAACGTGAATATTTTTGTTGAAGTAAATATCACTTGAACAGACTACGAAAGTATTGTTGTTACATTAATAAAAAATTGGGTCTAAAAGAGAAATGTAAAACAGAAAATGAGCTATCCTTTTCTTTGGAAATATATCCAATTCGCAATAGTTATTGCAAATATCCTATATCCATTTGTCCGAACTTCAATTAATCTTTGGATCAGCACGCAACAGACTTCTGCAGAATCTATTATCATATATTCTGCAGCTTACAATATGGATCTCAAAATCAAGGCATTACAAACCTTTTAACACAATTTTTTTCTAAAGCTAATATTAAAACTGTAACCTAAAATTAATTATATTAGCATCCAAAACTCAGCCTTTTCCAAACATTATATGCTGTCTGATTTGAGATAATGTATAAATCTAAAAAGTTCACTGTAAGTGTATTCAAAATGAGAAAACAAGCATTCGTGAAAGTCTTTAAAAAATCAGTCACAACCACTAAGTTAATTTTAATTAGTAAGGGTGGAGCCATGTGTAGTTCATGCAAGTGAGAGCCATTCACATGGAAGTAGTCAGAAAGCTAAAGTGAGAAGCTAAAATGAGCTTCGAACAAAGAGCCAACATTAAATTTTATTTTAAAATTGGTAAAACTTTTACCGAAACGTTTCAATTGATGAAACAAGTGTATGGCGATGATTGTCTATCCCGTTGCAGAGTGCCCGAGCGGTTTCAACGTTTTCAAAGTGGTCGTGAGGACATAAATGACGATCAACAAGTGGGCCAATCAAAATCCACAATCTCCGGAAATTCCATCGAAACTGTGCGTGAATTTATCAAAAATCAGCCGAAATCATCATTGAAGTTCATGGAAATGGATTTGAACATCTCCAAAACGTCGATTTATCGTATTTTTACGGAACATTTAGGCTTACGAAAGGGGTGTGCACAATTTGTTCCGCCCAAATTGACTGACGACCAAAAATTGCTGAGAATCCAACATTCGAAAGAAGATAATTTGACCAAAAACCACATTTTAACCATTAACTACTCGCCGTATTGACCTGATATGGCACCGTGCGGCTTCTTCCTTTTCGGAATAATGCATTTGCCCATGAAAGGTAGGCGTTATGCAGACTTACAGGGGATTCAAAAGGCTTGCACCGGCATACTGGCGGCCATAGAGGCCAACGAGTTAAAACACTCGTTCGACATGCTTTTGGACCGTGCAAAAAAAAATAAATTGATTTTCCGAAAAAAGCTATTTGCTCTGTTTTTTCTGTCTGTCTGTTCCTCTTCTCTTCTGTCCCGTTTACTTTGGAACGCACCTTTTACCGACGTTTGCTTGCCTTAAAAATTGACAGTTCACAGAAATACCGGCGAGGAACTTGTGTGTACACACGTTGTTGTTGTTGCTGTTACTAGTATTTAATTCACTGCACTAAATTACTTGCAACAAGGCGGAAGTAGTTCCGCAATTGCAATTCGAGAATGCTTAACAAAAATAGTTTTATATTTCCTTGCATTCGCCCATTCACAGTTAAAAATACTCGCTTGAGAAAACAAGCAACTGCATTAATTTGCATTGGAAATATTGTCGCAACCCTTGAATATAAATTACATTGTAGCTGTCTTAAATTGTATTTAAAATAAAAAGCTTTTGGCCTAAAGCTGGAATTTAAATAATTTTTGATTAATAGCTATTGCGCTGACCGAGATTACGCCCAAAATATTAAAAAACTGAGACGAATCGAAATGATTTCAAACTTTTCGCATTTCATTCACTGTTAATGGTTAAAATTTATAATACATGACTTTGGCAGGATTAGCGTTTAAATTAATGGCACCGCATAAACCGATTCTAACATCGACTCGGACCACTATCTTGTTGCAGCCAAGATACTCACCTTCCTCTGTGCAGAAAAAACGGTCGTTAACAAAAACCGACCGATTTTCGACTCGCCTTGCACTCCTGCTCTCTGGCCGACCGAGCTATTCAAACATGGCAGCAAAGAACTTATAAGGAACATGCATCGTCGGACGAAAGCATGCCCAACGATTGGAATTTAAGTCTGCTGCGCCCAATCCAAAGAAAAGGAGACCCCACAATCTTCTACCGGATAAGCCTCTTCAACATCGCGTATAAGGATCAATCGAGCGTATTGTGGAAAAGATTGCAGCCCACAGCTGTATAAACTGACGTTGAGTTTGGATAAGGCAGCGAAGCAAATGAGTCTGGTGGTGAACGAGGGCAAGACGAAATATCGCCTGTCATCAAACAAACAGTCGTCGCACTCGCGACTAGGCACCCACTTCACAGTTGACAGTCATAACTTTAAAGTCGTAGATAATGTCGTACATCTTGGAACCAGCATCAACACCCAGAATAATGTCAGCCTCGAAATCCAACGCAGATCCTACTTCGGAGTAAGTAGGCAATTGAGAAGTAAAGTCCCCTCTCGACGAACAAAAACAAAACTCTATAAACTCACTCACTCATTATTCCCGCTATATGGTGCAGAGGCGTGAACGACGACAACATCTGATGAGTCGAATTGACATATTTCAGCGAATTAAAAGACAGCGGCTACGCTGGCTAGGTCATGTTGTCCGAATGGACAAACACACTCCAACTCTGAAGGTATTCGACGCAGTACCTGCCGGTGAAAGCAGAGGAAGAACAAGAGCTCCACTCGGTTGGAATGACCAAGTGGAGAAGGACCTGGCTACGCTTAGAATCTCCAATTGGCGCCACCTTGCAAAAAGAAAAAACGACTGGCGCGCTGTTGTTAACTCGGCTATTAACGCTTAAGCGGTTTCTACGCCAGTAAAAAAAGAAGAAGTTTCAAGCGTTAGATATTTGATATGATGGCAATTTGGTGTACAACAAATAATTTAACTAGCGCTTGAAATAACTTGATTTTATTAGAATGTTATTGCAACAACTTTAAAATAATCTAACTAATTGTTTCCGTGCAAAAAAAGTTCTTAATTTATACTTACGCAATAAACCCATAATAATTATACCCTGAACAGAAGATATTAAGTCGAATATACGAGGTTTTTAAAATCCAGAAGGAAAGATCGCATGCCATATAAGTCATTAATAATCATATTAATGATCAGAATGATGAGTTGAATTGATACAGAAAATTATTTCTCTCTGTGCCCATAGTAACTAGTTATTGTGATCTTAAATCTTCCTTTTCTCTTCAAGAAGCTGCTTATGTTATTTATCGGAACCGCCAATATCGAACACCTTTGCTACATATTATATAAACAATTTTCAGCTGTTATATAAACTTTATTTAGTCAACCGCAAAAGTTTGACATTCATTTCAAAATGGTCTGGGATCCACTTGGTAAGCTGGTTAAATACTCGTATAACAAATTTTTGACCAATTGTACATAACGATAGCCTATATAACCCTTGACTTTTAGCTACTTAACATTTGTGAATGCCGTTTCGTAAAGCTACGCCCGTGCTACTTAGATCTCCTAATTCCTTATTGTGTCCCTAATCCCACTCAATGAATCATAGTGGTTACGAAAAATTCTTATCACTAATTGGATTTGCGCAAATAGCATGGGCGAAACCTTTGAAATTCAGTGAACCACGAAATGCAAATGGCAAATATCGCATTGACGTTGAACGCTGAACTTGCACAGTTCTAATTCCATTAGCTTTCACTTTGAGGGATTTGTGGATAGTTAACTTTGTTTTTGCTATTCATTACAATTTGGTCACCATTTTCATTTAAGATTAAAAAATGTGTGCCAGCGGAAGCATTTCCTATTAAATAAGAGAGAATTTGTAATGCTTATGTGGGCGTTTTCATACACTTGTGAATAGGTGGGGACGCAAGGTTGCATATATTATATTTGTACATTTTATGCATCCGCAAAATATTGCACAGAGCATACGAGTTTTGTGCTATTCATCAGGTTTGTGTGGTTTGGAGTAATAAGAATTATGCGTGTGGTATTTTTATTTCCATAAAAAATATGCATAATTCATAAAAGTGTGTTCCTAAACCTATGGTTTATGTTTGGATACAAACCTGAAAGTGTATTTCTGTCGGTTTCAAAGTCTTTTTGGGGGCCTAGAAGAGGAGGTCGCTTATGAAGACCGTGCTGGGAGATCTGCGACAAGGTGTACGCAAGGATGATCCCTAAAGTGCTCACTGACGACCAGAAATTGCGGCGAGTGGAAACGTGCTAAGAAAATTTGATGTGAAGTGACCCCCGATTTTAGAATAACGTAATCACTGGTGACGAGTCATTGGATCTTTGAGTATGATTCCGTATGCACACGCCACACAGGGGATCCAAACAGTATGCACCTCGCCCCCAAGGCTATTGCGGAGAATGGTATTTCGCAAGGTTTTCTTTAAAAGTTGCAAGAGTATGAAATGTTCGGTTACACTCGAACCCTACTTGTTTAATATTGCCAATACCTTAGGGTATTTCGCCGGATTAGGTCACAGTCTAGACTATTACCTGTAATTTGTTTTTGACTTTTTTCCAGCGATCATTTTCAAATGGTATGAAAACAGAAAAAAATTGCTGTTATCCTTATTGACGATAATTATGTCTAACACATTCATCTATAGTCGCAATATCGTTCATGCAAATATTTTTGTTTTTCTTCTATATTTTGGACATTACGCATTACTCAGATTAACAAATACTATTCTTATCTGATATAGCAAACTATAATAGAACCAAAATCCAAACAACATTTTGTAATACAAATCTCTTCTTTTCAGACAATCTAACAACTGAAACACGTTTCTGTCCAAAAATGTAATAAATATTAAAAGCTCACACAAAAGCAAACAAAATATTAACCGTTTATAAATACATACATACTCGTACATAAAAACTTTTCAAAGACTTCAAACGCTCAGCGAAAACTTATTAAAGCTGTGTAATACGAAACGGAAAGGATCTGGATAATTTTTCACAAGGCATACGAGAAAAACGAAGCTTACTGAGAAACAAAATGTCGAATGTAAGTTACAAAAAATATTTTGAAAGTTTTTTGTTTATTCAAAGGTGGAGAATATTTAGGACTGACCGAATTATTAGCAGCTTTCATGGTGTAGTTTTTAGACTTTCGATTTAAATATACACATGTACATATTTGGGCAGCCCTCTTCGAATCGCCGAGAGTTAGAAAATAGCGAGACAAACACATTGCACCAGCTGTTTAAAAAGACTGACAGCACTGGAAAAGGTGTTGAAAATTACTTATATCCATTGGACCAATTGTTTGAAAGCTCTGAGCTATTTTAGACTCATAATTATTTTTGTATATAATTTTATAGCCGTTTGATTGTAAATCAGAACTCGGTAGGGCAGAAGAAAGCAGTTATGCCTCATTAATCCTCACACTCTCTTCATTCGAATTTAACTCGCTAATTTTCCTATTGCTTTTACATGTAAATACATGTAAAGAGAGATCAATGACCAAAGAAAGCAAAGAAGATGCGAATCGATCACACCGTATGTGTTTGGTAGCACTCTCTTCAACTAATAATAAATAGAAATTTTCCAAAAGGAACTAATCCTAATGGCGACTTGGCTGTTAAAACTCATATCTAACAGTCTATGGGACAAATAAAAATTATAAACCAATATGAGTGGCCAGTAAATATATTTAATCTACATGCATATATTGAATGACAGTTCCACTAGGCCCATAAATGCCCCACATTTTCATATAAAGTGATGCCCTTTAATTATTTATGTTTTTTAATAAACCACACTCGGGCATACGCTGAATGTAAAAGCACGTCTCCACATCTCTCGGTCCCAACTAATTTCAATGAAGATTTTAGCATATTTTCCTCTAGTTTACTCCGCTTCTAAATTAATTTTAACTCAATTGAAGTCTATATCCCTATAATCCTCCTTAATATATGATGTATGTGAAGCTGTATAACCTTTCCATTTATTCCCATTTCTAATTACAATAATCCGATTGCTCAATGCCATTGCCAATTTCCTGCTACCGCACACTTACAAATGCCTAGTTGCTCTACATGGATGAAACGAATTGCAATGGCATCTACGCATCCAAAGTCAATAGTACGGCCTCACCACTAACTACAACAACATCAAACAACAATAACATCACTAACTGCAACGAAAGCAGCAACAATATTCTTCATGCAAGCAACATTATTATGAGCACGGCCAACAACAGCAACAGCAACAGCAACAACAATAGTAACGTTAACGGAAATAGGAGCAGTAACATCATAAATAACGCAGGCACAAATAATATCAACAACATCAACATCATGAATATAGCAGCCTCGACTGTGGCAATGACAGCGGCGGTTGCCAACGCCAACGCCAACGTCAACGCTGCCGGCACCGGCACCGGCCTCACGTCAGCCACACTACCCACATCCGTCTCGAATGAGGATCTAAGTCAGAGTTTATCCGAGTACACAGATGCGGATGAAAGCATATCAGCACCGACCGAGTTTCTTGCTGAGGTGAGTACACATACATACAAATGTACTTATACTATATATTGTGAAGAAGTTAAGAATAAAGCGGAGATGAAAAAGTGCGAGAAGCTGAATGCAGAAGTGCCTGCAGGCTTACAACTCGCTCTACTGTCTGCCAAGTCCATTCACAGTGGAAAATACTGGCGTAGCTGCCAATTGCCCTCTGCCACTTGGCAATTGGCAGCTTTAATAAATGCAAAAAAAGAAAATAAAAACGAGAAAAAACGTTATCTTTGGCTTCAACGAAGCACAACCCTACCCAGGTACAAAACAATCTTCAACTTGATTTAGTTAGTTTACATGCATCTATAATATATGCTTTAGATGTCCGATCTGAAGAATTTCTTCGGAGATTGTAGTGATAGCTTGGATAAGGTTATATGCCAAATAAAGATACCTTTGATCCATATCCGTAATAGGATCTCTAATAACAAAACCAAAACTCCTCAAACAATGTAGTAAACTTAATACAGGAGTACTCTGTTCAGGGTATAAAAACTACAAAGAAGCTCAAATGGTGTATCTTTATGGAAGAATGTATAGTATATGTATAGTATACGTACATACAATAACTCCTAGTTTTATAGTTGCAGAAGTATATTAACTGTATCTCAGATTTTATACCAAAACAAGAAAAAACGCTAACTTCCTTTGCACCTAAGCACAGGTGCTTTCTTTATAGGATAAAGGAATATAAAATATCTTTATATCGTTTTTGATTGGTCGTCTTTGATCGGTCAGTCAGATATATGCTATAGTGGTCCGAACTGAACTATATCTTCGGAGATTTCTTAATTGTCTGACACGAAAATGTCAAAATTCGTGAATATTCCTCGTTACATAAAAAAGTATTCCGAACAAGTATGGTAGGTAAGTTTGACAGATATATGTTATAGTGATCCGATGAACTGTTTCTTTAGAGATTACAATCTCCGATCGTGCATTTTCTGTGGCAGTCAAATATCGGATGTTCCGACAAATGAGCAGCATCTCTAAGAGAAAATAACGTGGGCAAATTTTCATATCAATATCTTGAAAACTGAAGAACCTGTTCTCTTCTTTATATAGGCAAGTTAACAACAGCGCGCTGCTTCTTTAAGAACAGCCCGGTCCTTCTTCACGTGGTCTCTCTTCCTCTGCTCCCACTGGCGGGTACTGAATCGAAAATCTTCAATACTAGATTGTTCTCTTCCATCCGACATCCGGCAGGCGATGTCTCTTGATTCGCTGGACTATGTATATCTCGTACAGCTCATCGTTCCATCGACTGAGGTACTCGCGGTTGCCAATGTATAAAGAACCATAAATCTTCCGCAAAATCTTTCTCTCAAGCACTTCTAAGGCTGACTGATCAGATGAAGAACTAGTTCACGTATATACGTATATACAGACAGACGGTCATGGATAAATCACCTCAGCTCGCCACGTTCATGATTTTTATACATACATTAGGTCAAACGTTGGGTTTTAATGGAAGACTGTCAAATATACATTTATATTTTATACTAGCTGACCCCGCAGCCGTTGTCCTGCGTGAAATTATGTGTTTTGAAATGAAAATAAAGTTAAATTTATCATCTTATTTTGTTTTTTTCAATGTAACGCAGCTGTTAAACAAAATTTTTTGGTTTGGTTGATTGTCATCTCAAATGCAATTTTCACTGGAAACGGAATGCGGTTGAACGGAAATGGCGAATCGTTAGAACTCAAAGGAATTCGTAGAATCAAACATTCTGCCTCCTTGTATACGATGGCTGCGTCACAATCAGTCGGATTCCATTACACAGTTTCGGTGCATGAAGATTGGAAACCATAATAACGACAGATCCTACTTTGAGACGCAAATGATGCGATGGCATACCAAGCATCTCCAAAAATTTGGAAATTCCACTAGATAATTCACGACGACGTCTTCATTGTCAAGACGATCGACCGATTTGTATAAGCGCAATTCTCCCAGAATTTGACTTTGGATCTTATAGCTTAAGTCAACACCATCGGTATACAATTAAATCGTTGTTACGCTAATTCGGCCAACGTTCGGATACACATTCGTGATGAGTTCATCTTTCGTGAATTCATAAACGGCAGATGAAATTGATATCACACCACCGAAATAGACCCATTTAAAATTCCTCGCAAACGGATCACTGACGAAAGTTGAGAAAAACCTCGTAAATGTTAATTTTATTGCTGGCAGTGTTTCCACCGGCTGTACTGTATCCTCTGGGTTGAAATACACTCTTTGGCCATTCTCCAAATTAACTGCGAGTCCCACAACAGTAAATATCCAATCATGAATTATAAAAGTAGATATCCTACAAAGCGCTTTATTAAAGGCCGTATCATATAAGACCAATAACCGCCATGTTGATTCCTTTGATTCCTTTGGTGATGTAATTAATTACAAACGTATTTTATCGATTACACCAAATTGCAATACTCAACATTGATATGAGTTTTGAATGTGAAATATACAATAATGGTGAATATAGAACGATCCATGTGTTGTCAACTTCGATATTTCTGTTTCCGAAAGAGAAGCACCTGGATAGTGTTTCGTGCATTTATTGTCAGACATACAAACCGAAGTGGGATTGTGGTGTCCGCAAGGTCCATGAACCATATCGATTTTCGCCACTTCGTATAATACTGGATCTTTCTATGCATCAGGAATTTCCGCAGAAATGATTTCATCAATTTGATCTGTGGTAAGCACCATCCGAAGAAGAATGTGTGCGTCTATCAGTCTATAAAGTCCATCAAACATCGTAACTGTTGTTTGAAAAGTCGTGCTGTGACATCGGTATGATTGCTTGTTGATTGACAGCAGTCCACAATTCCGCACGTACATATATCACCGCATCCTGGGAGTACTTCTTGCCTCGGACTGCCATACGATGATGGCAAAAAGAACGCCGATCGATATTAGGGCGACCTCTTCGTGGCTTCGTAACAAATTTCAATATTTAATTGACCTCTTTGTGTGAAACACATGTAAAGTTTTTACTGAAAAATTTTCAATAATTTTTCTTTTGAATAGCCGGAATAAAAAAGCAAGCGACCGAAATTGAACGGTTCAAATAATTTACAAATCAAAATTTTTAAAAACAACAAACCAAAATTTAAGAAAAATGTGGAAAAATGTGTTTTGGAATTATCCAATTTTCCGATTTTTCCTCATGAAAAGTATAAGGTATTTTTATTTCTAAGCCTTCCTCGATCCACAACGAACAACTTCTTAAAATTTCATCAATATTGATGCAGCCGCGCTCTTAGCGTTATTAACAAATAAACATTCATTCGTTTGCATGGAAAAAGGAAAAGGGCTGTTTTTAGGGGTCTTATGGCAAATATTCGATTTTTTCTATCTATAACGATCCTTGAACCTCAGCGAACGTTTTAAGAAAAGAATTGGCAAAATTGGAGAATTGGTGTTGTTGAGTTATGCGCTTAGCAACATTGCGATTCATTTTTATATACATACACATAAGTTTTCTATTTAAAATACATACATACATATGTCATACGATACAAAAAGAATTTGTTCAGAAAATCTGTTGTTGTCAGTATAATATTCTAAGAAGACCTTTCCTTGTAGAAAAAACCTTCCAATGATCATCTACAATATTCTGGTAGGCCGCAATATTTTACGGCGAGCTCTTTTCAAATTTTTAAACTTAGTTACAGATTAAGTATGAAAGTTTTACTTCATGTCCGAAACGCAGACGAAACTCTGCTGATCCTTAAGTGCCCTGGAGACGATCTAATAATTGCGTCAAACAATGGATATGTGTTAGTGGTGTTCACTCGTGTTTTGCCCGCAAATGATCAAATAAACACGTCAAAGATCAGTTTTGTTTTGGCAAGTGCTGCATTTCCACTGAAAAATAAAAATAATAAATTGAAAAAGAAGAAGGCAGAGTTGATGAAAAATTGGTACAAACAGCGTAATAAGTTTGCACATGAAAACCTTCTCGCAGAAGTATAAATATCCAGCAAAACAGATTATTGTAAGATTTTGCGAATGGATGACTTAAAATTTAGTTAATCATTAACCAAGGTGGAGCTCCTTATCAGTTTTTTAAGGGGATATCGTACTGCTTCATTTTCTCTTCTTTTTTTCGGTATGCTTCTATTTTAAAATTCAATAAACCTTCTAAAGTTTGGTAATGTAACACTTGATACTTCGTATAAAATAAATTTCTCTGTGTACAAATAAATTTCATCCGTATATGCTACCGCTTTGAAAGCTACAGCGTAAATGAGGTCATGCTTGTCAAGCACGAATGGAAACGATGAAATTAGTGGCCATCAAATAGAAATATCAAAAATTTTCGATTTTCATCAAACAGAGCCGACATGTCGATGTAGCGTACATGTAGCCGACGACAGCCGACGACACCAATGCACTTACAGAAAGTGTTTAACTAGCACAGTTTAGTTTTGTATCATTTCAAATTTCTTATTGGCTTTCCTCGAGGTATTTGAAAAGAGCTCGTTGTCTACAATGAATCAAGTGTCGTTTATAGCAACAGACACCAGTAACTTTAAAATCTTCCGCTTGACGAGTTTGATAACACCTGGGATTTCGTTACGATTTCAAGTATTACACGTTGTTTGTTAGGAAGGTTCAGGAAAAAAGGTTAAACCTTTAAGACAGACCCCAGCCTACTAGTATGAGAGTTAACTTTAACCTATTATAAAGGTCGGTGAAACTTATATAATTAATTTTAGGGACAATGCTCTAAAATGAAGCTCAGTATACCTTTAATCATTTCGGTTAGTGCGAATTCGAAGATAATAAGAAAAGATTTGATGACTTTTCTCAGTACTGAATGGACTTGGAATGCCTATGTATAAGAAGCTTATTTCTTAGTAAATTAATCGATGGAATGGCAAGTGGTTTTAACACATTGATGAGCCGTGACATTTTATACTTTAAGATTTCGCTGCACTCTATTAATTGGAATGAGGTCAACGGCTCTGTTTAGCGCCTGAATTAGTCGACCACCATCTTTGGATTCAACATTTAATTTCCCTTGTTTTAATGTATATTAATGTAACGAAACAAAATTGTATTCTTCTTAAAATCATTAGAATATAATAAATATATAACTGCTTTGAAATTGATACTCGCAAGCATAGTGAATAATGAAATTTATTTTAACTATGCTCTCTATTTACAGTTTCTCTCTGCGGTGATGCTTAAAGACTACAAAAAAGCCTTGAAATACTGCAAACTGAGTGAGTTCTATTTGAATATCATAAAATTTGAAATACTTACAAATCCAAACTTTTAATTAACTCGCAAACTTTCGCAAACAACAACTATCTCTACACCTGCCGCAACTGTCAACGAACTATTTAACAGTTTTACAATACGAGCCAAACAACGCAACAGCCAAAGAATTCTACCCGCTTATAATCGAAAAGTTACGAGGTAAGTTGCACAAGTTCGTGCTTGCAGCACCAAAGTAGAATAGGGAACAGCGACACCGTTATTGAATTAGAAATGCAACTTTAAGTACATTATCTTAAAAATATTCAAATTATTTCCTATTAAAAATCACACAAATAGACGCAACGGCCAGCGACAGTGATGAGAATTATAATAAATCATCTTCGCCCGAACCAGTTTTAGAACTACAATCCTCGGATCCATCGGCAGGCGAAAGTGATGATGCGGCTTTTGAAGACCAAGCGATCGGTATTATTGATGATGGGATTGACGAGTTTGGACTAGCAGAGGACAATTGTCATTCTTTGGATGGCTCAAATAGTCACGAACTAAATGTAAGCAGTCGAAGCGGCAATAGTGACTCAGCGGGTGGTAGTATAAGTGATTCGATGGATGAGGAGGTCGAAGGAGAGGAAGACGATGACGAGGATATTGATGGCATTGATGATGATGTTGAGGATGAAGATGAAGACGACGACGATGACGAAGTGGAAGATGTCAACAGTAGCAGCGGCGATGACTTGCCAATCGATGACCCGAATTCGATTGAGGCTGCAGCAGGTACCGGCAATAATTCACTTTCGTCGCGAAATTCATCTAGTGGCGGCGGCGGAAGCGGGCGCAGTCGAAGTGACAACACAACGCACTCATACTCCAGTTTACTGCTGGAAGAAGAGGACGATATAGCGCCGGTTAATTTGAAATTCACCAAAGAGCTGTCATCGCCCGATTTGGATGTCAGCAATGGTGAGTAGAGCGCTTGTTTTATTTTGTTAAGATTTTTATATAAAATTTTTTTTTGTTGTTATTTTCACTGTAGGCAACAAATTACCGTCAACTTCATGCAGCGACTCGGAATCACCAACGGAACCGCTAACGCAACGACTCGCCGCCATTTTGCGCTCAAAGTGTGGTGTGTCCAGCGCTGGTGACAACTATTGAAGGCAATGCAAGTGTCATACAAACAAAACGCATACGCAAACGGCATAGTTATCAGGAAAATACAAAACTTTAGTGTGAAATGCATACAAATGAATCTAGTTTAGTTGAATATATATACTAATATATGTACTGTGTATATTTTCATGTATTCACTTGTAGCTATTTAAGCGTTATATACTCGTAGTTTAGTATATGTATATATCCATGTATTTATGTACTGGCATATAACCAACTTCGTATACAACACTTATATTCAGATATATATCCTTGAAGTATATAATGTACACATATTATAGATTAGCAATTGAAGAGTTGATTTTCTCACCACTGACATTTCCCATTACAACTTGCCAATCACTCTCAAATTTACTTAGAGAATGAGCTTTGCGATCGGAAGGATACCCTATAAGATGATCTATTCACCCTTAAAATAGGAATATTTTTCATACATATATGTATAAATAATATTTGATAAACTTTTATAAATATATTTACTTAAATTCTGCTATTATTAGAAACCGCTATGAGATTTTGGAACTATCTTCGCTAAAAGATCTGAGGTCTAAAAATACCAGTATACAGTGGGTTCACCTTAAAGTTAGGGGTTTTGTATCAAAATTATAAAGTTCGTGAGTTTCAAAATCTCTCAGCCAATACTCTTTATCTTATGACCTATAAATTTACATACTCTTTTGCGTAATAGTCTAGTAATTAGTAATACCTAGTGCAGAGAACTGACTCTTATTTATGATATTCTAGATCACAAACAAAGTGGACTTGTAGTGAATTTTATATGCATGCTTTAGAATTAGGTTTTATAGGTACTCGCAAATTTGGTAAACTAATACAATTAATATTTATTTAGTCTATATATCTGTATTATTAAAGTGAAAATATACAAAGACAGGCGAGTTGTTGACATTTTGAAAATTCTTTCAACGAAAAGAGGAAGTCGGAAATAGAAATCAAAGGAACTATTTTAGACGAGGAATCTTGTTACCAAACCGGCTATAAAGAGAGAACCTCAGATTCAGTTTTCCATCGATCAAGGAAGGTTTCATAAGTTCAACTAAATTTAACAACATTCTGAAAACCTTTACATTAAGCATATAAGGTCCACATGGGCTAAAATAGAGCCAATTACTCGTAATACATTTAACAATGATTTTATATAATTTGTTGTGTAGGCGTGCTACTTCTTAATTCAAAATTTAAAAAACGGTAACCGAAACTATATTATTTTTCATATTTTGATTGAACAGTTTGGATGACAGCTATAAACCATTGTGTTCCGATCTGAACAATATGTTCGGAAATTGTACACATTCCCTGAGGTTATAATCCACGCCACATTTCCTGCCGATATAAAAAAATCGACAAAAACTTTCATAGAAGGACTTAAGCTTGATCGGTCAGTTTGTACGCTATAGAGGTCCAATCCGAGCAATTTATTCAGAGTTCGAAGCGGTGCCTCTTGGTCAAATTTCTTGAAGATTGCTTGTCAAATAAAAAGTCTTCTGTACAAGAACATGAATTTATCGTCAGTTCAATATCGCCGGTTCGGAGAAATAAGCAACTTTTTGGAGAGAAAACGATGAAGAAATTTCAAATTAATATCTCAACGTGAGGGCCTAGTTGGTGTATTTACAGACAGACGGAAAGAGAGAAAGGCAGACAGTCGGATATAGCCAAATAGACCCAGCCCCTCCTGCTGATCATTTATACTATATACAAGTATTCGTTTTGTTCACTGATGAAATTAAATTTGGTATCTAATTTAATTTATGAAAGCATTAAAAATATGTAGAATATGTGATGGGTTAGACCATAGGCAAGCACGTATTTGTATTGGTTAGAAGGTACTAGATGAACATATCGTACAAAGAAAACTATATACTTTGGCTAAATTAATTAGAATGGCAAATCTATTTCATAAGCATTAAAACACAAACTGAACTATACTACAACTAATTTATGTATAATAAATATTTAATAATCATATGCATAAAATGAGTATATTATAGAACTGATGGTCCTCATATATTATTATAAATATTAAAATTAATATTTTAAATGATCACAATTCAACAGTTAAATCGTATTTATGAGTTTAGTCCAAAAAATATTTTCCTTTTTTGCAATGCAATATAAGCATTCACAAACACAAACAATATAACATTAACCGTTCCCACGACAGTAAGGTTAAGGCATTTGGAACGGACCCGGAATTTTATCCGGCCAAGGACTGTCAACTCGGCACCATTCCTAGAAATTACTTCAGGAATGTTTCTGCCGCGATAACAACAACATAAACCACACAATACAGTATATATTCAAATTAATTTTTTAAATCATATTATCACCACTTAAATACCTATTTGAAAAATCGAGTATACATAACTGATTTAACATAAACAATATTGAATAAGAAAGAATGTAAAACACAAACACTCGTAAAAGTAAGCTAACATTACAAAGACTTCATTAATAGAGAGACTTTAAACTAGGAAGATGGTGGATTGTTGCATATTAATTTCCAAGTGCATATATAATATATTATATATACCATATAAGTATTTATAAGTTATAATCTCAACTATTTACTATTTATACTAATCTATATACTCAATTTAGGTACGTGTAATAACATATAGACATATTTAGTATGTATGTGTATGTATTTATATGTAGTTTTCCTGTACGCATATTTGTTGATAACAATGCAATATATCAAAGAAAAATCAAGTGTGAAAAGAACATTTCTAAAACATCACACATAGATACATATATACTTATAACAGCTAAAACAGCAGCGCATACATATTTCGTATAAACCAAATAAAAAATACTATATATCAAAGAATATTTCTTAAACATGCAAAGAGAGCAGGAATAATTGAGTTCTTTATTAATTTCGACGGAATGTATGATTTAGTAAAGTCTTATTTTTTGTTCATAATTAGGTAAGATCAGGTGAAGAAAGATCTGACTACACTTGGAATCTTCAAGAACGACTGGCGCACTGCTGTAACCGCGCAATAATTGGCATATCTTACTTTTGGTGGGAATGCTAAAGAATAGACCAGTTTAAATCATTTTGGTCTTAAGGGCTATTGAAGATGTTTTAACTAGGAAGATTGTTTTATATGAAAGCTGGACGGTTCATTAAAAAGAGCTGAAACGTTTCGACCCCACTCAAGCGATAACTTGAATACCTTTAAGATACATCGGAACGTTGATAAGTGTATTCATTGGCACTTTAGGCAGGTTAGTATTGCAGATGGGCATAATCAGAACATATCCTCGCCCTGAAAAACTTGTAATCTACTCTAAGTATATAAGTATACTAAGCCCCAAATTATAATACAAAATTCTAGTTTCATAAAGAGGATCACAACAGAAAATTTTTACAAAGATTGCGAGCTTCCTCTTCGTAATAAGTTTAATGTACATACCTTACAAACTACTAAAACTATGTCTATCAACTAAACTTGTTCAGGTCAAACATTTCCGTTACTTCCTCAGAGAGTGTGCTAATGGGTGAAATCGGATAATAACCGCACCCTCTTTTCATGTAACAGTCAGGTTGAAAACTACTACAAATCAATCCGATAATCACTAAATAAAAAGGCTGAACGCATTCAGTTTTCACAGAAAGAAGGTACAATGATCCACTGTGAGCAAAAAATAGTGAGACCTTTGTCATAATTTTAAAATTCTTAACTTATTTTTCAAAATCTATATAGTCCTCTCAAAGTAATTCCCCTTGACCCGAGTACACTTGTGTCAACGGTTTTTTCAATCAGGCTTTGCAATTGATCGTATGATTTCAAGTCGTAAGCATAGATCCACGACTAATCGCTAGTAACAACACGTTTCATGACATCCTGGTAGTCGGAAAATATTGTTTCAAATTAACGCGACTCTGTTTTTTAAAACAATTTAGTAATTTTGGAAGCAATCATGCTTTCACTTTCTTAGAGGCAATTGATCTATCAAAATAGTTTTTACTGATCCTTTCGATATTCCAATGATGATCATACGACGATCTCTGACTGTCGATTCTCAAACATAAGTTCCTGGCTTTATTTAAGGCTGGACGAGAAAGATATTATTTTAATTACAATTGTTGACAATTTCCGAGGCATAAAACGGCAAATTATTGAAGGATGCAGAGTTGGAAAAGTTTTGTGTTGATAGTCGTGAATTTCAACTTGATTAAGGTAATTATGAAAAAATTTAAAAAATTTCAAGTCAGACTATATTCACAATCATCTGATAAATTCCAAATAAGTTCCACCAGAATATAAAAGTGATGAACCTAAGGCGTCGTGGTTGCTTGAGATTGTCAACTTGAGAATTATAAAAGAAATTCTCATAAAATGTATTTTATTACAATATAACAAGCTTATACATTTTTCTCTCAATTTACTTGAATGTGTTCATATTTTTCAAAACAAAACTGACATTATAAAAAGAACATAAATAATTCCAGCCTATCTGATCGCTGCCTCTACTTCACTAAATTTCTACGCAAAATACTGCGGATGGTAGGAACGCTTCTATTGATAAGTTTTGATATCTCCTGCAATGTTTTCTTTCCTTTCGAACATTAAATATTATTTTTGTTTCTTAGAATATGGCTTTTTTTTCGTCACGTATTTTTTAATGTTGGGTTTGTCAAGTTTATTCCTAAAGTAGTTTAATTTCATATTTTTGTTCATTTTAGTTAAAGTTAAACGCATATTTAAAGTAATAAGAAAGGTTCCAAACCAAAATTTTTCAAACCAAAAATCTTTTGTTTTCTTTTTATTGAAAAAGTGTTTATATGCAAGAAAATATATTCTTATTTATGTAATGTAAAATGGAAATAGAAATTTTGAAACAAACGAGAACAAATCTTGCAAAATCATTGATAGTTTTATGAGTTATAAACCAAAACATATTCAAAATATCTTTTATTATATAAAACATACTGTAGAGTGTTTTCCAAGCAATTATACCTACATCTCAACAACAAATGAACAACAAAAATAGTTGTGGATAAAATTTTGCAAAATAAGCAAAACAGCACTTGTTTTATTATTTATTCATTATTTTTATTATTATTAAGTCTGATAAATACGCACATGTACTCAAACGAAAAAGGCAAGTAGACAAGATTATTTATTTGAGTTCAGCTGATATGAAGATCAAATTCCTTTTGATTTCCTAAAGTTTCACCCGTACGTAAACGAACGAAACAATTCCAAATATGCCGTGCTAATGACCTCATTATTTTTCAAGTTGGTGACTTTTGGATGATATATTGTTTACACAAAGTCAAAGATAATGAAGTATACGCTCATCACCTCGGTAGAAATAAAATGTCAACACCGTTAGTCATCGAATGCTCAAATCATCTTATTTATCCTTTTCACTCTGTTGCCATCCCGGACACATCGCATAAAAGTTAATCGTTCATATACTTAAAAGACAGAGAACGAGAACTGTGGATAATATAACAGGTGTCATCTCTTTGAAAACCTTAAAGTTACGAAATATCAATAGGTAAATAAAATAAGTGGAAGTTTAAAATCTGAGTAAAAAAACATTTACTTCTAAGTCAACAAACTTATTAATCCGGGTAGACGTAAGCCGATTTAAATACACCCTTAAATTATAATAATTGATTTTAATATGTCTGCAAAACAAGCAAGGAAGGGATAAGTACGGATGTTACCGATCATTTCATACTCTTGCAATTTGCAGAAACCAAAGCCGAAAAAATACCTTCAGGTGTTAGCAAAACTATTGTCTATACTAACAAGTAAGGAAGGGGTAATATTTTCAGATGCTGCTAAAGCTTTATTCTAACAAGTAAAGAAGAGCTAAGTTCGGGTAAAACCGAACATTTTATGCTCTTGCAACTTGAATAAAAGCCAGTTAAATACCTTAAGATGTAAAACTCAACCGGAGGATCGGAATCTAAGCAATTTTATATGTGTATACATAAGGTTTGTTAGAAAAACCAAATCCTTGGATTCTGTTAAGGTACCTCACATACAATCACCAATCATATGAAGCAAGGTCAGCTGGTTGTTCGAAAATCCTAGTGATAGTTACATACATATGGGCTAGGTCAAGTTTTCGCCCAATTGTATCTATTTTGGACACAAAGATATAGTGTTATATGTTAAGTATATGGAGGCTCAGGAAAGAATTGCCCCGATTCAACCCTTGACTTGTAGAATTTGATCATTGTTCATCGAGAGAGGACTTTACTTCTCAATTGCCTACTCGGTCCGAAGCAACACCTGTTGACAAGAGTTATTATGCGTTGGGTTTCGAGTTTGACATAGTTGTTGATGTTAATGCTGGTTTCAAGTTAGACGGAATTTTCTACGACTTCGACGTTATAACTGTCAACAGTGACGGGGGAGCAGTGATGACAGGAGATATTTCGTCTTGCCCTCGTTCCCTACCAGACCCATTTTCTTCGATTCCTTACGCATTCTGGAGAAAGTAGAATTTATGGCGAAGTTGTGGAGCCCAATGATATCAAGCGAGAATCTGTACAGTCTGATAAGGGATTGTAGCTTCTCTATACAAATCTGCAGTTCGAATTGTTTTCTTCAGGAGTAGATTAAAAAGGCCGCCTAATAGGGAGTCGCCTTGCCTAAAACCTCGTTTGATATCGAACAGCACGGAGAGGTTCTTCCCGTATTAATTTATTTTGCGGGAATACCCAATTCAGACCAAACGCCATAAAAGCTCATTTTCAAGCTGTCAAAACCAGCTTTGAGATCGGCAAAGAAGTGGTGTATGTCGATCCCCTTTTCATGGGTCTTTTCCAAGATTTGGCGCATGGTGAATATCTGGTCAGTTGTTGATTAGTCCTATAACCACATTGAAAAGGTCCAGCCTGTTCGTTGACGGACTCTGAGTTTGGGACACACCAAATTTTTAACGATTTTCAAAAAATGGGTGTGGCTCCCTAATGCAATTCATTATACCAATTTACATGTTGTATATTAATTTCCTAGCATACTTATGGCAATTTATTATTTTTCGATTAGTGGCGTCTTATTTGCGTTGCACTCCTCCAATCACCTCCATCTAAAAGCCCAAAATACTTTTAATGCCAAGTTTCTTCAAGATATCTTAATTTTTACTCAAGTTAATGCTTAATAAAAGGGACAGACAGACACGCGGATTTCAACTCGTCTCGTCACCCGGATCATTTACATTTATATAACTCTGTATCTTTATGGATTAGTTTTATGTGATACACACAACCGATTAACTATTTCAACTATTATACTCGATAGCAACATATTGCAAGAGTGTAAAAATATCGCACCCATTGCGGCCGTTATGCAAAACTTATTAAGTAGCGCTACCGAAATAGTTTTTCCCAAATTTCAATAAGTTAAGTAAGGTAAGCTTCAAAAATTTACTTGAGAATCGGGTTTCCTAAAGAAGTTATTGCCGATTTTATCAATATTATATAAGTATTACATTTATATATGTAGATATGTAATATATTGTGATCACAAAATACCGGGAAATTGTAAATAAAACGAAAAATATTCAATTATTCATCAATATTTATTTTGTTGCCTTCAAAGTAATCTCCACCAGATGTAATACACTTATGCAAACGATTTTCAATCGTACACATCGATGTCACATTGGTACTCTTTTTGAAAAAAAAAATCAGCTTTATTGTGGTGAGCAGAGTAATAGCGCGTTTCATACCCAAAATATGAACCAAAACCATTCGAACGGACTACTCAACATTTTACGAGGCATAGAAAAGAGAATGAACTCCATTGCGTATTATGTTCGAAGGTACTAAGCAAAGAACTAAATCATGGATAAGTAAATTAGTAGACAGTTTTA